TCAGGGAAAAACTTATCCCCAAGGTTAATAAGATGGGCACTCAAGTTACAAGAGTATAATCTGGTAATCAAGCACACCCCGGAAAGGAAAATATCGTAGCAGATGCCCTATCCAGAATAAAAATAGATGAAGAAGGTAATACTGTAAAGGTGGCAATGCTCACAGCATGTACAATAAATTCCCGAGAAACTGTAATAACCGAACTGGGTAAGGATCCTGAGTTTGGAAACATTTATGAGTATTTTAAAGGATCCTGAAAATTTTAGCCACCAAGATATTGTGGCGATAAGAAATAGGGCGGCCCATTACGAACTAATAGATGGTCTATTATTTTTATACAAAAACTACGAATTCCAACAACGAATTTCGACCTGTTATCCCAGCTAGTCTTAGATTAAATATCCTGCAGGAGTTACACGACAGCCCTTTAGCTTCTCATGCTGGTATTCGAAAAACTATCCAACGCGTACGCGAAGCAGTCTATTTTCCTGAACTGCAAAAGTTAACAAGGGCGTATGTCCAGTCCTGCCCAACATGTCAAGCAGTTAATTATATTAATTTCCGCCCGGCCGGGTTTCTAAATAGTATTAAATCCGAATTTCCAAATGAAATAATTGGCATCGATTTATTGGGCCCTTTCCCAAAAAGTCAGTTAAATAAAAGTCGCTATCTCCTTGTTATGGTTGATCATTTTAGTAAGTGGACCGAAATTGTTCCCTTAAAACGAGCCTCCGCGAAATTAGTTACTGATTCTATTTTTAAATAAATATATTTTAAAATACGGGGCGCCCCTAAAAGTTATATCGGATAATGGTCCTCAATTTGTAAGTAATATATTTGAAGACATGTGCCAAAAACTGGGCATACGTCATTTAAAAATGGTCCCGTATCGGCCGCAATCAAATATAGCGGAACGGGTCAATAGAAATATAGTGAAAATTATCCGTAGTTATGTTAAAAATTTTCATAAAAGCTGGGATAACTATGTCAATGAATTTTGCTTTCGCCCTTAGGACCGCAAAACATGATACAACGGGCAAAACTCCTGCTGAGTTATTTTTAGGCAGAAGATTTATAACGCCGTTAGATAAATTATTTTATGTTCAACAAAGAGCCCCAGAATTTAAAATGGGTGATATAGAAAAATTAATTAAAGAAGCAAAAAAGAACACTGAAGTAGCACAAAGAAAACAGAAGCTTCTATTATGATATGAAACGACGGGGAGTAACTTATAAAGTAGGAGATGAAGTATTAAAAATTAAGCATTCACTTTCTTCAGCACCAGAAGATAAAACTGCCAAATTTTTTCCACGATTTGAAGGACCATATGTCATAGAAAAAATAACTCACGCTGTAGTGGTGTTAAAAGCCAGGAATGGTGAAACCATGCTCCGCAAACATTGACCAAATAAAAACCATTACTATGATCGTAATAAAATGCAAATATTTAAAGATCTTTTGCAGGATCCGGCACGGCAGGCACTGCAGGCACAAGCTCCAGAGGTGGAACAACGACAAGTACAAGGGCAAGCCATTAGGAGGCAGGAGCAATTGAAAAGAAAGTTTCCCCGTTGGAAAATTGAAGGTAACAAGAAAAAGAAGCCGTTCCACCGACCAGAAAAGAGAGAGCGCACGACCACCCCCAGAATGAAGAAGGGAGAAGTACGACGAATGCAAAGAGAGCCAGGAGAAATAACGGCAACTATAACCCGGCTCCCAAAACGGAAGATCTACCCATCGGACAGGAGTCTACGCAGCAAATGTCGCCGAATTGCGGAAGGGCCACCAGCGGCGGAGGAAAAGATACAAGGAAAATTTGAACGGCCAGCAACGAGGATCCAAGCAGGAACGAGAGAGAAGTTGTCCCGGTTCCGCCAAGACCAGCTGCCATCAAAACGGCCAAGACCACAGGCAGAGGCGAAAAAGAAGGTATTCAAGGGTGACCGAACTGGAGGGAAAAAAAAGCTTCCTAGAGGAAGGCACTGAAGGCGAGCCCGCACAAGAAGGAGGATAAAAAACACGAATCGTTGCTCCTACCTTCCAGGACTGGGCAAGAAAAGAATGTCCGAATATCACAAAGATAAGTAAAATTTTATGTTACTTTGCAAACTTAAGTTAATCTTTCATTCTTACTGCAAGTGGCAGATTTCAAGAAGTTTTTACCTCATGTGAGGTCTACCTTTATCGCCAAAAAGGCGAGAAATGAGTTGTTACCTATTTTGGTATTATGTTTTTCAATTACTCGCGAGTAAAACTAAAGTTGATGTATAATAGGAATGTGTAAATACTTGAATATTGTAAAAGTTATTGTATAAATTTTATTTAAAACATTCTGGCAAGAAAGAAGTTTTAGTCTGAAAGACTTTTGAAATGTAGTATTTCAATGTAGAAGAATTGGCACTTGCTTTGGAAAAGAATAGAAGTTAACAATGTACTACTAATGTATGTTTTAAAATGCGTAAAATTAACGGCATGTTAATATGTTCCTTATATACAATGTGAACTGTTATTTTAAATGTTAAGAAATACCTGTGATATGGTTAAAAAGTGAAAGTAATTCCAAAAAAAATTTTTAAACTTATTCGTGTGACTGAAAAAAAAAAAAAAAAAGAGAAAATATTGTGAATATGTGTTAAAGGTTGAATGAATGTAGTTAGGCTCTCTGACGCTACACTTCAGAGTTAGCCACTTTTCAGAATAGTACCTCAGGGTTTAGAGATGAATATAGGGTGTGTTACGAGGTCTTGTTATGTTGAATTTTAACACGTTAGTGTTTTGATTGTAGGAGGAAGTGTTGAACACTTATACATAAACACATTCGTGTTTGGTGTTTTCTTTTACAACACATTCAGAGAGCACGTAGTCAACACAGTCAGAGAGAGAGACGACATAGGGAGAGATAATTAAAATAAAGTCATGAATGAAATAAGAATGTTAAGAGAAATATAAATATTCATGTTACTTGCCATTTAATTGTGTAACATTTCATTAAACTAGTTTTCCTTCCAGATCTCTGGAAGGAACCAGATTTCAACTAAAAGCTCCTGTTTAGATGCAGTACAGATGAAAAGTTAATTGTCCATGGAGCTGATAATGTAAAAACAATTTTTTTTTTTAAATTTCTAGTTTCTAGTGAGAAATGTTTTGTAAAAGATTGGCCTCGCGTTAGATTCTAGAGCTAAAAGTTTTCAACAAGGTCGTTTTAGACCTCAGTTTCAAACTAATTAACTCTGGCGGGAAGTATGTAAGGATCTTAAGTTTTACTAACGTTTATTTTATTTTAAATCTTTACTATCACTTCTTATTTTCTACTTCCGGCCAGAATTAAAAGCTTTAACTTATTTATGCAAATTTGTCTGGCGAACGCCAAGTACTTAATTGTGGCTTTTTGCCAAGCAAGAGAGAGGAAGGAGTTAGTCGAAGCAGGCCGCTTGCCTTAGCAGTTTTACTCGGTTGCTGGTTGCCTTCCAGGCCAGAGGTTTAATCCTCTTGATAATTTAAATTTTAAACGTATTGTAGTGTTCAACAGTTCTCTGTACTACATACGGCTTCCTGTTAATAACGGCCAATCTTCCACGTAGGCCCTTGTTTATTATTCCAAAGTTAAGTTAGAGTTTAGTTAATTTTTTATATTCTTACGTTCAGACCACAAGTAGTTGGTCTCTGTATTCCGAAGTACGGAAATTATTGTAAAGAGTGAAAAAATAAAGGGTTTGTATACCCTTCCTGTGTATCCTTGTCTACTTCCCACATTTATTGAACATAGCTTTAGTAAGCTCCCTGTTCCGAGTCAGGTCTTTGCATGTTCCCAAAGCAAGTAGGGCGGAACACTGAACCTGATACGTTCAGCCGTATTCTTACTTGTTTCCTAGTATTTGTCGGTGAGGTTTAAATAAGGGGCAACTCAATAAGTTATTTCTGTACAGTTTCTGCTTAATTAGTTAGAATTAATTTTGTTTCTTATTTTTTATCTGAAGTTAAAGCCCAAGTGGAAACTTTCCTGTAAGCCCGAGAGGGGCCGATTGTAATTGTTCTCAAGTTAAATAAAAAGGTATTTTAACCCTCCTTTGGGTTTTGTTTTGCAGTTTCTAGAGCAGCGAATATTCGCTATACTATTCTCTAGTTCTAGTTGCCAAGGACACTTAGTTTAACCAGAACCCTATAAAATAATTTGCTAAATCACGAATCGTATTGAATTGTTTTGCATTTCTACTTAAGAATATACAACAGAATATATTTTCATACATTTATTATAATTTCTAATATAATTTGAATTTAAAGTATCTTTTTTGTATTCACGGGGTAAAATCTTCAACTGCTAATTTACCAAAAAATTAGTTTTAATTGGCTGTTTTATTGAATTAATAATATTTAAAAAGTCAGTAAGTTTACATTTCCTAGTAATAAAATTAAGCAAAAAGGTAACGTCAGATTAACACAGATTTTCTAATAAAATTTGTCTACTTACAGGACAATTAGACATAGATCCCTCTTCTTCAAAAGTATTTTTTTTCTTTTAGAAAAGGAGGGATTTGTGGTATCTAATTGCCCTCGAAATTTAGTGCTTTTTATTTAAAATCTACGTCACACTAAGATTTGTACTTTTCTTCTCTAATTTTGTGCTTTACACTAGCATTTTGCTCTTCATATAGAATTTTATAATATTGAAAGAACAAATTGTAAATACAAAATGATCCTGAGACTTTTGACCTGAAATTATGTTTCATTACATCATGAAATAATTTCTTTTTAATATGCAAAGTACTTTTATAACTCATAGCACTCAGCTATGCTTTAAATTTGTAATTTTTTGACCAATTTGAACCTGATTTGCAATTTACGATTAACTTAAATCTTGTTGATCATAAACTGTTTTAAATTTCCTGAATGGTAGACGTCCTTAATGATAATTTCGTAGCAAAAAAACACTGTTTCAGAATTACGTGAGTTAGAGACTTAATATATTCGGTTGCGCTAAGCCATATATTTTTTTACTCACTTCTATAATATTAGTCATGTTGTTATTGGGGTCCTTTACAACAGACAGACTTATAAAGGTATTATGACTGAAGCCCTTCCGGCGCAACTGAATAAGAGTATCCATCCAGTTAAAGGACTCAGAATCCCAGAGTTTTCCAAAACGAATGGGCCACTTCTCAAGGTCTCTTACAGCCTCCTTTAGTTGTTCGCTTCCTATGCTGAGTCTATCTATACGTAGAAAAAGTACGCCAAAGTAAATGGTTAGCATAAAATTTCAATCTTATAATTCAGATTGAAATTTTACATTTTAAAAAAGCATTAACATTAAAAAATTATAAAACTTATAAAACACGTAAAAGTGTGAAGGTATAAAATATAAAAAAAACTGATACTATATCGATTACGTAACATATGATGGTATTAACACCTGTTTTGTTAAATATAGCAAAGTTGCAAATACCCATAGCAATTACCAGTTGGATATATATCACAAATTAAACGTACTTTGAATTATATCAATGTGATCAATCTGTCTGCGTCCTCCTGTTCCTTTGTTTGTTTGTAACATCATCTCCTCCAAAGCAGTGAGGAGCTAGAAGAGAGGTACCTTCGGATTCCGAAAATTCTTCGGAAGCCAGTTCGACCATTTTCATTTTCGTACAACTTTAATCAGCCGGGATATTAATTAAAAACTCTGAAAACGCTAATATTCTCACCCTGCAAGTTACTTTATTCGCTGAACTTTATTGCCTTTGGCGTGTTGCATCGAAGCGAAGTGGAATTTTAAAATTGCCATCCGTCTTTTCTAAACGCAGGTAGAGTAAAATTTTTTATGGAATCACGCAGCCGGTTTATTATTATTAAAATATATAGAACTGATTTTATTGATATTGAAATATTTTATACATTCTCGTTTGAGATGTACATCGAGCTTATAAAATTTGCTTTGATCTCATCTCACTCATCTGGGCAGCTTGCCTGCTAGCAAATTATTAAAAGAAGCAAGATAAGGTTCCAAAATTCAAAACGTTTGCATTCATTGCTTATTAATTGTTCAATATGGTTTTTTCAGTAGGATATTGATCAAATCTAAAAATGAGTGAATGGTTTTACGCTTTACCGAAAAGCAACTCTCTGAGAATGTGTATGCGCAAAAGCGTGTCGGAAGTAAATTAAAGCCTTACATTTTGAGCCGTGCCAAAAAAGCCGTGCCATTTTGAGCCTGTCAACGATAACTTGTAGGATGTTAGCCAAAGTACTGGGGCAAAAACATCACGTCGAAAACAAGGCAAAGGGAAAACGTCATTGTACAAAATATTCTGTTAGAAACCAAAGCAAGGAGAAATTTCATAAGGTATTTTCTCCCACCTTTTTGCATGGCTTCGAGAAGTAACGGTAGCATATTCAGCGCGAATTCGAGAGGTCAAGGTTCCAGTCCCGGCGGGGACATTGCTCATTTTTCATGTCTTCTACTTCAAAAGAACCTAACGTCTTCTACAGTAGCCCCTCCCCGAACTAAAAGGTAATGGATGATGATTTTTCACCACGAGGAATTTGGCGATTGGGTTCCCTAATCCACAGTCGTCATTTAAAAGGGGGAGTATATAGGTATTTTCTCTCTCCTTACTGAATGCCTTCGAGGTGTAACGGTAGCATACTCGGCACATACTCGAGAGGTCGCGTCCCGGTGAGGGCATTGCTCATTTTTCATGTTTTCTGCTTCATAAAACTTAATGTCACTGTAGAAAATAGGCAGCGACAAAGTTTCACAGTCATGTAACGAATACCATTATAATAAACTTAAGGACCCCCGATTTTTTAACGAATCGAATAAGCGAACGCTAGAAACTCGCTACGGTATTACTTACAAGGGACTGAATATATTAATTTAAAATTCATTAAAAACTGTATGCCATGGCAAACTGCCAAAACTAAATTAATAGCTCTTCTTGGCTTACGCCCGTCGGGCTGAAAATTAAAATATCAATTATACTCATCTTGCTTTCTTCAAACAATGTGCCCTTTCTTACAGACCTTTTTACAATGATGAACATTTGCACATTTCTCACGACAGACTCACTGAAAGCTATTGGATCGATCCTTCGGAGCAGCGATTAATTATAAACGTTGTCCGCCGATAACATCGCGGCAAAATCATCGCGGGAGAAAACGTCGCGGAGAAAACAACGCAAGGCGAAAACGTCGTGCTACACAACATCGTGGGAGAAAATATCGCAAAGAGAAAACATCGCAGTTCTAAAACATCGTGGTACAAAATATCGTCGTCGAAAATAAAGCGGTTCAAAAACTTCGCAGTTTAAAAACATCGTCGTCGAAAATATCGCGGTAAAAAATAAAGTATCGACAAATCATCGCAGGACAATAACATTGCAGACATGGTTTTTTTCAGGCTTTAATAATTGTAAATGGATATTCCCATAATGATTTGTGAGCGCGAGATGGAAAGAAACATAAATTTTACTTTCATATTTTTTATTAACTAATAAATTTTTGATGAAAATGTGAGAAGGAAACTTAATACTTACGAATAAACTGAAGCAGAGCAAGAAATAATTTTCATATAAGAGTATTAGCTTGACAAAAGTGAAGACAATAATCTCATAATTAGCAATTTTTTATAGATAAGGTCATGCAGTTACGTAGCTTCCTTTTTCTAAACATTTTTAAATTATACTTTTAATGAAAAATTACCAGTAAAAACTTTATAAAAATGATTTATTAATGACCTTTGTTAGTTAACTATGTCAGTTTAAAGTTCTATTAAGTGCTATAAGTTGCCTTAATTTCCCTTCTTACTTTTTCAGCAAAAATTTATTAGTTAATTAAAAATATGAAAGAAAAGATTATCCTTCTTTCCATCTTGCGCTTACATATCATTATGGTAATATCCATTTACAATTATTAAAGCCTGAAAAAAGCAGGTCTGCGATGTTATTGTCATGCGATGATTTGTAGATGTTTTTAAACTGCGAAGTTTTTGAACCGCTTTATTTTCGACGACGATATTTTGTATCACGATGTTTTCTCTTTCGATGCTTTCTTCCACGTTGTTTTGTATCACGACGTTTTCACCTTGCGTTGTTTTCTCCGCGATGTTTTCGGCTGTAACCATTAGAAACAGCCAGCTAATGAAAAACAACGGTCGATTAACAGCAATTATAATTCCAATAATTCAAAATACAGTGAAAATTCAAAATGCGTGATTTGTAGAACTTGATATACGTACGATAAATCATGTAATCCTCGATCACTAATCTGAGAATATTTCAATCAGATTAAACATCAGAAAAACATTGACACCTACCAAAATTTTTGATAATTCAAGAACTATTGCATGCAGATTAACTAAAGGCGTAAAAAACCTTAACCGGAACGTAAGAGCAACACAATTCAACCAAATTTATCGGAAGCAATGAACAATTTACCAATATATTAAAAAAAAAAAAAAACTGAGCGCTCACCGAGCCGGTAGCAGAGTGGGAACATGTATGCATAAATATGTTTGGTGTGACCGATTGCAGCGAAAATGCGAGGTGCACAACTAGATGCTGTAGCAATCCCATATACAAAATTTGAATGTTCTGATGGTAATCGTTTTTGAGTTATGCGGGTTTATGCATATGTACGTCATGAAAATCTGATTTCTGAAGCCCTTTTAAATCCATTTTTCAATCAGTTTTGGTGGAAAATGTTCTTTTTACTGTCCGTACATGCAGATATCACGCAAAAAATAGCTAAAATGGATTCGAGAGCGGTCAAAATTGATATTTTCGTTGAAATATGATACCCGAAAATTTTTACGATTACAATACTTCCTTTTCTTTGTACAAGTAGGTAAAAAAATGACAATTATTGTTGCAAGAATTTTAATTATTGGAATAGTTTCATTTATATGTTTGATATATACGAGTATTTACTAGATTTAATAAAAAATGAATTATGGTTAAGTTATTGAAATATTGAGATTAATTATAATATACATACAACTAAGTAACGAATATAAAGTATTATAATATACATACAACTAAGTAACGAAAATAAAAATTAAAAGAATTACCAGCATCCATGCAGGACCTATATATTCCTTTTATCTTGCGAACGAAATCAGGATTTTTTCTCGTTATGTTCTCTTCCAACATATCTGGGAAAAGAATAATATTTATGTAACTGAAACACAGTGGCGTAAATAGGGGTATGCAAGGAATGCAGCCACATAGTTTAAGCACTTAAATAACTTTAAGGAATCATATCTGGATCTTAGGAGGATCATTAAGAGGATCTTAGGAGGATCTTAGGATCTTAAGATCTTAGGAGGATCACTTTAAGGAGTCATATCTTTCATATCTGGGAAAAGAATAATATTTATGTAACTGAAACACAGTGGCGTAAATAGGGGTATGCAAGGAATGCAGCCACATAGTTTAAGCACTTAAGTAACTTTAAGCACTTAAGGGTGCTTAAAGCTTAAGCACACAAGTGCTTAAGGCTTTTGATCGCCTTTAGGTGTTCTGCTGCGTTATATTTACGTGTGTAGGTTTTAAATTTAGAAGAAAAATGGAAATTGACCGGTATTTTTAGTTTCATAAAAATATATCTACAATGTTTTTGTAGAAACAGAACAGAGTTCTATGTAGTTACGGATGGAAACAGTAAAAGGAATCTCTAAAGCTTCTTTCTTTTCAGTTCCTTAACTTCGTTCCTACTTCGTTTTGTGTTACCTTCGTTAAAGCTTTTGTGTAGTTCCAGAAAGGCAATATCAGGAGCTGCACAAGAGCAAAGTCATCTGAAAGCAGATTCGAATACAAAAAATATCCACCACGCTACATATTGTTATTCTGATTCCCTGCGATTAGGACAATAAGGGGGTCCTGTAAGCTTCTTTCGTTTCAGCCCTTGTCTTGTTCAATTTCCCTGTGCTTTCTACGTGTTCCCGGTGTAACCCTTTCAGGTTATTTATGAAGACCATTAGTAATTCTGCACTAGCGACTATTTGACAATCAGGTTTATTGTGAAATCAATTTCTGAGGATCTATACGCAAGTTTGTGACAAAGGCTGCGAAAACGAAGGGATGGGACATCGGGAACTTCTGTAATTCATTAGATGTTCCAGCAAGTTGATCCAAGAAATGTTTTTGCAATCTTGCCGCATGGCAGATGCTTCCCCACACAAAAGAAGCAAATTAGTTTAGCGTAAAGATTAATAATGATCCTTCGGACATTGTTGTATACATATCAGTTACTGCTTCTAAAGTTCGGTTAGGTAATTAAGTTATTTACTTCGTTCTCATCTAATGTAATACGGAATATCATTAAATAAAATAAATAAATAAACATTTTTAATTGATTTTCTTTCTGTTTAAAATTCTAATTTTCTTTTTTCACAATTTATTTTCCTCACTAGACCGTCAATCCCGAAACGGCTGCTTTTGTTAGCTGGACGAGTTCAATTTACATAGGTAAGAGAAATTAATGTCATAAAAATTTCGCAGTCCTCTTTATTAAATACTTTACACAGCGTTTTCTCAGTTCGCATTTTTTCGATAAATCGATGTATTTAAAATCTTAAAACTTATACAGATATGGACTAAATTATTTAATGTGTTTACTGCTTGTTTAAAATTACCTATTTAATAGAAACAAGGATGGAATTTGTAAAATAATAAAAAGAAAAATTATTGGAAGTGAAAATGCGATTGGGATCATATTTTTTTCAAAATTTTAATTTTTTTCTCAGAAACTAATTATTTAATTACAAGATCGAGCATTAAAGTTATCCAGAAAACTCTAATAAATAAAAGAAAAAATATGGGGCAAAAACATTGAAAATTGTAAGAGAAGAAAGAATTTCAATTGTTAAATTTTTCTTCAAAACATTTTAATTGAAAAAAAAATTACTGGCAAAACTTTTTTTCAATTAAAATCATTTTGTCTTACACAATCAATTAATAATATTCATAAAAATTAGATGAAAGTTTGTAAGGATTATGTTAATTTTATTAACAGTTAAATTTTAAGTTCCTTTCCTGTCAGTTTCTTAACTTCAACGTACTACTTCCGGCTAGAACGTAGTTTTGGAATCTTGCTGAATATTTAATGAGGAGAAGCGGTATTTAAACCACGAAGTTACTTTAGTCTTAGAGTCAGAGAGAATCAGAGTTTTCTGATTTACGTGTATCTGTCCTTTTTGGCTACTCTCTCTCTCTCAAAGCTGTTATTATGCTAGGCCGTATTCAGGCTTCATAGTCAAATAGAGCTTCATAGATCAAAGCTTCATAGTCAAATAGAGTTAAGGGGCCAACTCGAGTCCAGAATCTTTATAGCTTCAGCTATACTTCTTTAGTTAATCTTAGTTTAGTCGTCTTTTAAGTTCAAGTCCAAGTGTGGGCTTTGCTTGTAAACTCCAGGCGGAGTTTTGTTAAATCTTATTATAATAATAAAGGGTTAGTTACCCTTCTATCTTGTTGTTTCTTTGCCACCGAACTCAAGCGATTATTCTCTTATCAGTTCTTAGATTCTTCACTTCCAACATTAACTTAAATTCCAAAGTGAGGAACTCTACAAGTTCTTAAATTAAAAAAATCATCCAAATCGTACGGAGTCCCTTTAACAACCATAAAGCCATCAACGATTTCTTGAAAATTATTTTACTTGCAAAGGAATAGTATCTTTAAAATATAAGTGCATATATGGCAAGACTAGTATTTTTCTCTTTTGTTTGTCTCAGCAGATTCGGCCAAGCAAAGCTTAGTATTTTAACACTAGAAAGACTGAAACTTATTATATACCCATATTGCCCAAAAGCAATCAAAATGACTGCATTCTGAAGAATAACTAATGTGTAAAGAATTTGTTTAAAATTAATTTTAAATATTTGTATAGTATTTACAGTTATATAACAAGTTATTAGTAAATATTAACAATAAAAAAAATTACTTCACTTGGAAAAAGATAATTATCATTATATTATTTGTGAATTTTTTGCAAATGAAAGTGTAAATCTTTTTATGTGTACATCTTTCGCAAACATAATTTGACATTTTTCACATATATTATTTGTTTTGTTGTTGTGGCAAGGTCGTACTTGACAAATTTGCGTAGCCTGTTGACCCTTTCACACCCTTGAAATTACAAGTGGATGATAATCTTCCAGGAATACCACCTTCGTCCAATTTTGACCACACAGTACCATTGGCAGCTGTTTCTGTCTCCTGAAAGGTGTTTTCAGTTTCCTCATCAGAGTCTGAACTACTTAGAGCCCTACACCTTTTCCTGAGTATATTGAAGACACTTTCATTTTCATCATTGGTGATTAACTCTTCATCGCTATCTTCAGTGTCAGATGTTTCAGTTTGAATATAATCCGCTTCATTTTTAGATGATAGTTCAGAATTTGTTGCATCTGATTCTATATCGGATCACTCTTCACTTATGTCCGTTAGCTTTTCCAAAAAACTCACTTCTATTCGACATTTCTTTCATGAATTTAGGGCGCAAAAGAAATAAAATAAACAACTTGTTAGAACAAATATCACTGCATAAAGATTCGAATAACAAGTACTACTTTAGCTTATTGGGAAACTGCAGCTTATCAAGTATACTCCCAAATCGACAATTTATCATGTACTTGTATGTTATCCTGTGAAGGTAAGCGAAAATAAAATGAAGACTCTTATTTAAATACAGAGCCGAACTGGTTATATCAGAAATTTACTCAGTTCAATAATAAGAGTAATTTGATTATTAAAATTTCCCAAGCAGTCCAAAATGACTGCTTTTGGGCAATATAGGTATAACACATATACATATACCGGAAATTAAAGAGGGGGAACTACAATTATTAATAAACACATTTATATGTTGTATAAAAAGTCACAAAATTCTGCGTCATTATATATATAATTGTTTTTTTAATTGAAATTAAAAAGCAGTCAAAAGGACTTCCTTGCGCAAGCTAGTATTAAGGAAAATAAATGAGACTGTTATTAAATTTTGGAGACAATTTAAAAATTTCACACCTTTAACAATCTTGTTAACTCAGTGTTCAAAACTACTGATTGTGATTGCAGTCAAATCGCTTGTCAAAATTTAAGAAAGAAAAATCGTTTTCCTTACTCTTGAGACTAACTTGGATATGATTTTCAAGTTCAGAATAAACGGAAACGGGTTCCTCCTTGTGTTTTTTTAGCCAGCCGCCACAAGCAAATTCATAGAAGTCATCGCATGGGCTCACGTTTTCATTCAAATAAGACAAAATTTCTTCAGCTGAAAGTAACCAAAGAAACATCAATTAGATAAGTTTAATTTTCTCAACAATTTCAGTTTATATTCAGTATTCTAAAATACTTGAAAATAGCAAATTATTGATTTAGGAATTAGTAGAAAACAGAGATACATTCTTGCAGTGTATTTCAAATTTACTAAACAGATAAATACTGTTATGAGGAATACTCAGTCTTTACCTTTCGTAGATAAGAAATAATCTAGATATTAAGCCTGGGATATTATTTTATTTTAATCGCTGAGCGGGCATCCAACCTAAAGTACTGACCAAATCAGCGGAAGGAAAATCTATTTAGCGGGCAAGCAGGAAGAAATAGTTACAGTGGCAAGGTTTGTTACATTGACAACTTTGCACATAGTGCTACAAATAATTCATATATATACACCTATAAGGTATTTCTCCCACTTCCCTAGCGTGCCTTTCATGGTGTAAAGGTAGCACGCTGGGCCGGTATTCCAGAGGTCCGTGGTTCGATTCCCGGCGAAGGCGGTTGCATATTTTTTAATCTTTTCTGCTTCCAATTAACCTAATGACTCTACAAGGGACGCCCGAACTAAAAGGGTTGTGGATGATGATTCTCCGCACCCATGATTTAGCGACTAGGTCCCCTAAAATCCTAGTCGCCCTTTAAAAAGGGGAGTATATAAAGTATTCCTCCCACTTCCCTAGCGTGCCTTCGTGGTGTAACGGTAGCACGCTGGGCCGGTATTCCAGAGGTCCGTGGTTCGATTTCCCGCGAAGGCGGTTGCATATTTTTCATCTTTTTTGCTTCCAATTAACCTAATGACTCTACACACCTTGCAAAAAAAGGGACAGTTCTGTATCTCCCTTTCGACTGGACTGATTGTCGGAATTTAACTTGCGTTTTCCATGTCTCCAAAGCGCAACTTAGGATGCATTTTAGATTTATATATAGCACATTCTTCTAACAAACATACGTATTTTGACAGAAAATGGGACTTTTTTTTAAATAACGTACCAATTTATTTTTATATTTCGATTCTACTATTCAAATTATACCTAATCATTAAATATCGTAATTTTTGGCGTGATATTTATGGAGGAATTTAAAAATTTACCTTGGCATATTTTTTTCAGTTTGAGCCAATTATAAATCACTTGGCGAACTTCTTAATTTACAGCAACTCATTTTCCTTTCATATAGCCCAAAGCGCGTTAGCCCAGAAGGGCTATTTATTTCGTTTTGGCATTTTGCGTTGAAAACTTTAGATATTCGTTACACTTTTCAAATTATTTCCACCAAATACTATTGCCCTGTGTTTAAGTTTAAGAAATTAAATAACGAACAATATGCATAAATGTACGTATGTTTTTCGCATTGTCATAAAACAACGGTAGCTATAGCCGTCAAATTTTGAATAACGTAATCCTCCACCGAATATGAGTATCTGCAACCATAATTTGGAATTTTTTATTATGGATTTCATATTTTCTAACACATTAACGAATTTTTTATGTACAAATTCAACGACTTCGAAGCGAGCAATGGGAATACTGTACAGGAAAAAAAATTATCTCTAGCGCGCAAGACTGTGTATCAGAAATTCTAAAGATATGCTCATTTTAAAATTGTTTTGCAATATTGCTGTTGAATTGGTTATGGTTTAAGTACGAAGTGTTTATGGTGTAAGTGCGAAGAACGTAATATTTAATAAATAAAAATAAAACACAAAACGTTAAAAAAAGTCCCTTTGGCGCAAATGTTTAAATTGAAAGCTTTCGAATATTTTTTAACTGTACACGAGCGGAAAAAAGATCATCGTCCATACTTTCAATATTTTAGCAAAGTGCATAAACCACATTGGGCGTTATTATCGCTTTTAACAAATATGCCAAATTTTAAAACGGCGGCGATACGTAAATTCATGTATAACTTAGGAAATTTTGAATAAAAACTCGAATTTTTTTGCAGTATGCTTGAAATACATCTACGCGATATGTAAAAATTTTGTAGTTTAATCAAAATCAAGTTCGAAAATTTTGAAAATTGTTTAAAATACAAATTTTTAAAATAAATCATAAAAAATGGGCGAAATTTATCTGGATGAACCAAATTCGAAATGTTGAAACAAGAATCAAATAGTTTAGTAAAAAAAGGAGATCTTCATAAACATATACCAAATCCAATTAACATGGAGGATCTCAAATTCCAGAAGCTAATTTTTAAAAATACTGGTGCGATTTTTTAAAAACTTGCACGTTGGCATAATTTCATAGTAAAAATAGAAATATGAAAAATATTGGATGTTACTTCGAAAATTCTAGTTTTGTGAAAATAGTATGTTGAACAATGCTTATAAATTCTAATACTATTTTGGGGTTTTATAAGTCCGCACCCTTGATGTTGATAACTCATAAAAAATAAGATAGATTAAAATGAAAACATAATGGTTAGATAGTCTCAAAAGTTTCATAACCCTTGTCAATGAACTGTCACGTGTGCCCCCCTTCGTCGCACGGAAATATCAAGTCGATATCAATTTCACGCCAGTACCGGCAAGTATGTCGGCATCCACAGAGGCTATTGCGGCTGTAATTCTGGCTTTTAGGTCATCATGTTCGACACTCTCCTCCTGTAAACGTTGTCTTTAAAAATACCCAAAGGAAAAGGTCCATAACATTGCAATAGTTGCCAAAAACAAAAGAGAGAAAAATGCTAAGAAGCAGACGATTAGATATTACTGGAAATGAAATTACTGAAAATAAACCACACGCGCAGACGACATTTAAAAGTAAAGATATTCAAACTTGAAAAGGAAAATATAAGTTATTCCATCAATAAATGCCATAAGTTTGTTTATATCTTCATTATGAGTTATTAAACATCAAAATGGGTCCGGGACTTTATAAACATCCTGTATTTTAAGTCGCGGTTTCGACATATGGAAAATGCAAGTCAAATGTCGACAATCGGTCCAGTAGAACGGGAGACATAGAACTGACCCATTTTTTTCGTGTGTGCAAGGTGTACATAATACCAACATCTAATGAGAAATGTTCTTACTCCTGCTATTCATTCAGCTGCCTTCAGTGTTATAAAGATACAGATGCAATACAGTAACATACAATGACATAATACTATGTTCGATTAAATTTAATTAAGAGCTCCTCACGTTCGAGCTCTACTTTGAGCTATCGATGAATAACTGCCATTGAGTTGCGTTATAGGCTGAAATTCTCAAGTCTTCAATTAAACCATGTACGGTATGGCAATATACAAATCCACTACTTCGAAAGTATTGCAGAAACACACTTTGTCTTGATCGAAAGTAGGATACCTTAGCTCCTTTTTCAAGCAAGTTTTTCTTGTGCAGTCTTGATGCTAACAGCTCTGAACCTTTTTTGAATAAATTCAAATCTTGCGCCAAATCATTCAACTCATTCTGGTCAAATCCCTTAGGAACGGAATCATCTTCAATTTCAAAATATTCATCGTTGGTGTCGATTCGATATTCACCAGAATCGAATTTCCGTATTTCCAAAGTGGGTAATTCTTTGTAAACGGGAAATGGGAGTTCATTTGAGGGAGGCACTGGGAGTAGAGCTGATGGTAAGCTGGGATAATCTATTTTACATGTGTTTTCATGTTATATCCTGATGATTTTACTATACAAAAGTAACAATCATTTGAGTGATCTTTGGGCTCTCGCCAAATCACAGGTATACCAACTATAAATTTAGAATGTGCTCCTTTCATCTACATCCGTAACCTCTCAGCACACTGCTTGCACATTTTGTGAAGGGCCCATGCTTTATCCTTGTCACCAATTTTCACTTTAAAATATGCAAAACAGGCTTGCCTGACAATCGCACTGATGTTCGTCCTTTGACTGAGAATGGTAAAACTGCCACAAATATAACAAAACGAATCGGAGCTGTTTAAGCACTTACGACGCGAACTAGCAGAGGCAGATATAAACAAGCTTTTAGCTCATATTTTATAAATAAAAACTAAACGCTGCTAGCCATGTATACAAACAAGAACTCGGACTCCAATTCGGAATGCGCTTCACTATATCTAAACAACACGTGGTGTCTCACTATAGTATCTCAGGCGTAGATGAAGAACTAGTCTAGATTGAGTATGTACCTATCGCTGGTCTCCTACGGCATCATTCACCCGGCGCCATTTGGATGGTTTATGTCAATCAACAGGAGAACAGTAGTGTTTCCTATGATCAAAGCACGATGAACTGCAGATTGCTCACACTCATATAAGATGTAGAGGAAAAAACTTGACGTCGTGGAAAAAACCATCTGCAGTTTTAAAATCAACACATGTGTTTAACTCTAAAACAACTCAAAAATGGAACTGAACAGAAATTGCGTTTCAAATTATTCTCTAGTGTTATGATTATGTGAAGCAAAACAACACAGTTTTCGGAAAAGGTTAAATAAAATCAACGAGTACTTTGTAGTAGTAAAATGTAAGAGATATAAGAAAATTTTAATATTACCCTCTCTGTTGCATTCCACTGTCGAGCAAATTTCGCAATTTGATTGATTGTGGATGATATTCAAAAGAAAATCAATATCTACTACCATGTTAGTAAATTTTTTTAAATCTGAAAGAGAACATTGCATATATTTTTAAACTATATCACAAAAGATTTATAAGAATTAATAATGACAGATATACAATGAAAACTTGCATTCATATTTTTGCATTTCATGTACGATCTGTGAGTTTATCAAACTTGCTACTTAAACTGAATTATAAAGGTCGTCCGTACAACTCTTTTAGCTGACACATTTTCCGCTTCTCGCTTTTTTTCTAGAGTTATGCATTACGTAATTACAAATTTTTTCATGTAAATTAATAAATGTATATTTCAGGAAACTCATTCCCTGAACAAGAAATAACAGTGTTCTAATCTTTAATTAGAACACAGAATTATTAATTAGAATTAATTAGAATTAGAATTAACTAATTATTTAATTAGAATTAATCTTTGATTATAACCCTCATCATGAGTATATTTCTAATCTTTAACCTTGATCAAACAGTCAAAACCTTAATAGCTGCTCTATAACTTCTCAAAAAAGTTTCTTAACTTAAAAGGATCAGACAACTCTGTTATTGCTGCTGCTCATTCTGATCTGGCCTACAACCAAATCAGGCCAAAAATTTTATTGTGGTCAAAAGGCCAAAACGTCATTGACCTTGGACCCATTGCAGAGGACATATGAGTTTGTCCAGCTCCGTCCCACTCTAGATGAAGAACTCCCAGAGGGATGGATCCAAGCGTCTCCCACCTCTCTACCACAACTGGTCCAGAAGACATTTCGTTCGACATTATTTAACTTCCCCCATTCTGCAAGCACACATTCATTCCTCCTTCTGGATTCGATTCTGGGGCCAAGGCTATGCCAGCAGGCTTCCATACTAGAATGCCAACAAATCGTTCGTAAACAACTTTGCTTTCATTTACATGCAACGGTGCTTTTTCCCATCCTTTCAGCCGAGTTAAAAATTAATTTAATTTATGCCCGTTTTAATATTTATCGTTTATCTTATACTGAAAAAACATTACCATCGTAAGGAAATTGTTTAAAATATGTTTAATTTTGGAAAAAAAATTTCTTTAAAAACCTAAATCTGATAAAATTTAAAAACTGAAAAAAAAATTTGCTGGGATTACCAGCATGTACTCTGCAAATTATTCATTCTAAAAACAAAAACAAACGCCTTTTGAAGGGAAATTTCCAAAATTTGGCCTTAAAGCTAACAAATGGAAAGTATTAAAATCGGGTTCTTATTGTAAATATGATGTTGTTTTCAAAGTTTAATTTCCTGATTTCTTATTTGGTCTTTTAAAAGTACCTTTCTGGGAAATATTTCCTGTGGGTTTCGGCATTGATATTTTATATCAGTGTTTCAAAGAGAGTTGAGAAATCAATGATTCAGATTCGATAGCATTCTTCAAGGAACTTCAATGAATTCTCTTACATTCTGTTGGCAGTTGACATCTCAAAGGCAGATATTAATTATTGAGCATTAATTCGTTTCAACAGCTGACAGAATTGTGAAGAAAATGATGAAGAAACATCATCTCTTGGCGATGATGTAATAGCACATTCTAACGCCACTCAGGAAGATGTAGAAAGAAGCTTTTCTAGTAGAACGACTAAAGGTGTTCCACCATATAGACTTTCTGACAAATCAGAATACTGAGCATCAGTATCATCTTATCATATTATTAAAGAGAGACTCATAAAGATTTGAAGACATTTCAAACTTGCCAAAATTATAACAAGAAGCTTGGATGAAGGCAATGGAAGAAGAAATACAATAAACTCTCCGAAAGAGAGCGATGCTTAACCAGCTTACAGATTTACCACCAAAAAAGCATGCAGTATGAAGCAAATGGGCAATTAAAACCAAATACTATGCAACTGGTAAAAATATTAAATGCAAAGAGAAATTAGTTGCCCAAAGGTTTGCTTTTACAGCTTTACCACCAAAAAAGTTTGCAATATGAAGCAATGGGCGGTTAAAACCAAATGCGATGCAACTGATAAGAATATAAAATGCAAAGCCAAAGGATTTGCTCAAAAATATGAAAATGATTATGATGAAACTTTTCCTCCAGTAGAAAAAAACTTCTCAATTAGAATTTCCTCAGCGTGGGCTGCGTATAACAATAAAATCTCGCATCAACTAGATGTTAAAACAGCGTTTTTGCATGGAAAATTGAATGATGACATACATATAGAACAACCAAAAGGATTCGCAGGTCAGGAAGAAAAAATAAATAAAGTTGTAAATTAAAGAAGTCAGTGTATTGTTTCAAGCAAATAGGGGTTGCTGGAATGCAGAAATTTAAATGAGCCTAAGAACATTGGATTTAATCAAAGCCAATTCATGTATTTTTACAAAAGAGGACCTTGAAAGAAGAATTAATGTAATTGTGGAAGTCGATAATATTCTGAGAAGGGATAAAAAAGAAGCATCAATTCTTCAAACAATCAATGATTTAAAAGAATACTATCAAATAACACATTTGGATAAAGCTAAATGTTTTTAGGCGTAGAAATAAGTCGAAAATAAAAAGATGCAAGTTATGTATCATCTCATGAAAAGAAATACGATAACTAGTCTAGCAGTTTCTACTTGAGAAAGCGAAACCTACTGATACACCCATGAATAGCAATTAGTCTATGAAAGGAAGAACATTTTCTGTCTTCCAATAATAAATATTGTGCATCATATGATATGAACAGATATTACAGCTTCAAATCACGGTCCTCTGAAATTTTGAAGATACGCGCAGACGGTAAGTGACAGAAAAATTAACGGTTAGATTTGAAAACGTGAACTAGCCTAGCGGACGATTTTTTGAAAAGCCAATTGCAAGTAATTCAGCGTAGAATAAAGTTTAGGCTGAAAAAACGTGCAGTTGATGCTAGAATATTACCGCTATAATTTTAAAGTGGTACTAAATCAAGAAGAATGCGTTCAACATCTACAGTTGGCATATGGAAATGAAGTTCCGTCTTGTGCTACTGTATGCAGATGGTTTACAGAATTTCGCAAAAGTCGTAACTCTGTTCAGGAAGAAGAACACACAGATAGACTGTACTCCCTGATTACTCCCAGCCATACGGAAAATGTTAAACCATAACAACCGCTGCAGTCACGAAATGATATAGAGGAATTTTACAATGGATTCGCCGCCGTACATAAAATTATTTATGAAGAATTGCATGTGAAAAAAGTAGTTTACCGTTCGGTTCCTTATTATTTAACCAAGCACCAAAAAAGGAGCATGTCAGAATCAGTTAAGATATCCTTAAATTGCTTAAAAACGGTAACCACAGCATTATTTTTAAAATCATAACTGGTGATGAAACGTACGTAAAATTTTTAACGTTTCAACAGGTCAAGGAAGTGAAGTATGGTTTTTTGAAGTAATCTCATGCCCACGATGGTGAAAAGATAACGTGCCATGAAAGATGCAACGTATGCCGTTTTCTTCAGAAGTACAGGACTGTTTAAAGCCATTAAGCTGGAAGAACAGAAGATAGTCACAGCTAACTCGTACACCACTAAGTGTGCTACATAAATTCTTCAAGATGTGAATGCTAGAGAACTCATGACGATGCATCTTCTCATTCAGCAAGATTGACAGCAGATTTTCTTGAACAAAACCACATCAAAGTGACAGGACATCTCTCTTATTCACCTGATCTAGCTATGAGTAACTTTTGGCTATTTTTTAAATCTAAAAATGCACTTACGTGGACGTCCTTTAGATGAGATTAATGAAGCTATAAATGCATTTCCCCATCGATTCCAAGGAGTGAATGCTTCAGGCATTTAATGCTTGGAAAATTTTCCTACGAAAGTGCACTGACGCTGGAAGAGACTACTTTGAAAACTCCTAAAATTTCGTAAGTGTACCTTTGAAAACCGATGTGTATCTCAAAAATTTGAGAGGGACCATTTACATTAAAAAGACTGGAATGCCGCAAAAAGAATCATTAAGTATTTAAACACGATAAAAGACCTTTCTGTACATATTTCTTTGAGTGTAGAATCAAATCCTCCGATTCTGATAGGGAACAAGTTATTCAAGACAAATCTGCATCAGAAAGTATAATTTTACTAGACAGCAAATGCATTTCATGATTTTCAAAAAATAAGCATGTATCTCATTATCCTCTAAACAATATGAATATGAAGAGCTGTTGCAAATTATGCAAGAGCTATTGCATCTCTTAAAACTAACAGAAGATTTTGATCTACCTCAAGCTTATAAAAGTTTTTGAAGATAATCAAATAATGAAACCTGTTAAATCTGAAAAGTAAAGTTCGTCAACCGAAAATTAAGCCGAAATTTCATCATATACGCCACTTGCATAACAAAAACAAAGATAAAGATGATAACAAAGATAAAACCTCGTTTAAGTTTAAGTTTAAGATCTATTAAGGGCGCAAATTACCCTCTATGAGGAACGATCAGCAACCATCTTTCGCATACATGTGTGCATCCCCCAGTGCTTTTGCGGATAGACGAAGTGCTCTTGCTTAAATCTGTCGATTCACGATTGCAACGCCATTACAGGATGTATAACCATGCACGATAGTGCCAAATGTAAATGAATCACTTACATACTACCACGCATTGAATCCGCTCGTATAATCTGACAGTTATGGCATCGTTTCTAACATTATTGACCGTTCAGCATAAATAAAGCTTACGATAAATATTATTAGCGCCCAAATATATTAACGGTTTAAAGAGAAAGTGATTCTGATTTGAAGAAAGCAAGAACTCTCATTATGTCTTTTCAGAAAATAATTGATATGAAAATCAGAAATACCATTTTTGTACGATCCGGGTGCCAGACATTCTTCAGGAGTATAAGCTTCTCTGGGATATGACATTTGAGGATTTCTTTCGGGGCATATATCTGGGGCAAACGCTAGAAGAAGAGGTGTATAGTATTTTAAAAATTAATACTAAAATGATATACATGAAAATCTTAGTCATAGCATCTTAGTAATGCATATACCAATTTAAAAGTAGATGGCACATTTAAAGGTATTTAATTTTCATGAAGAAATTATTGCAGTGGTTTATATAATGTTCTGTTATAAGTGAGAGAAAATAAATCGAATGATTAGCCAATTTGATAAAGGCAAAGCAGCTAATTTTTCCTTTCTGTAGCATATTTTATTGCAAAAATATTGCATTTTCTGCTAACCTTTGCAGAATCAGTACATATACTCTAGCTACTGACAACATGGAATTTTTCTAGTCTTAACTTCCATGCTGTTCAATGAGTAAAATGTATTTACTCATGCATAGAGCGGGTACTGTGGTTACAGAAATAATTTAATTGTGGAATAAAAAAATAGAATTTTTTAAATAAGCTTTCATTTAAAGCTCATAAAGTCATTAATGAACTGAAAGAAGTAAAAAAAAAAGTTTTAAAAAATTTGATTTTATATTACGCCCAAATGGGACTATTTTTCATTAACACATACATACACGTTACGAGAGCATTTGAGCTAATACCCTTTTGGGCTAAATATATTTAAAGGTAGCATAGCTATAGAATTTTCAATAGACAGTCTGGCGCGCTAGATTTTTTTTTTTTTTTTTTTTTTTTTTTTTTTTTTTTTTTGTACTATGTGTTGCCACTGCTCGCTTGGAAATCGTTGAGTTTCTTAAACAAAAACTCGTTAAAGTTTAAAAAATATGAAATACATAGTAAAACAAATTCAAAATTCAAGATTTGGGCTTCCAGATGCCCATATTCGGGTGGAGGACTACGTTATTCAAAATTTGCTGGCTTAACGTATCGTTGTTTTTTCCCACTGAGAGAAATATACATACATTCATGCAGACTCTTCATTATTTAATTTCTTTAAATACAATACAGGACCGTAATATTCGGTGACATTAACTTGAAACGTAATAGAGCCGTTTATAGTGATTCGACGCTAAATGCCGTTTCGAGACTAACGGATTTTCTGTGTTAACGCCCCTTTCGGATAATATTTTATCATATAATTTAATGGGAACGAGAGATTAAATAACTCTCTTTATAAAATCCATCTACAATTTCATATGACGGGGAAAAAAAAGGCAAATTGTTTTTCTCCTTTTTATAGAGTTTTATGAGTTATTAATAAAAACTTATCTCATGAAAAATTTTCTTTTTTACTCATCGTTTTAGTCTCAATAACACGTATTCACTCAAATTATTTAATTAAAAAAATTCTTTTTCACCAATTAGTTATCACTTGTGATTCCAACAATTTTATTACTTCGAATGGTCAAAAGATTGCCAAAAGATCAGAAGTTATGTTAAAATTACATCGAAACTTTATTTAAAAGCTTTTTTTTTCTGCTCTATCCACTGGGGCAAACATTAAAGTTCTGATAAGTTTAATTTGATCATTAAGCGAAAATATGTGCGAAAAATCTTTTCAACGTTTAATTTTAAAACAAAATCTGAATCAAATTTCGAAAAAAGTCGCTATTTCGTATTGGTTCACCGACTTATTAACGCGACTATATGGGCCAAAATTTGAGCTTGAAAATTTATCAAAGAATAGTTTAAAAATTAATGAAAAGTCTTGACCACAGAGACAAACATCCTGAGTTAAATAAAAGCTTACAAAAACGTTCCTAGTACTAAAACATTCTAGAAAACCGAAGAATTTATACTTTTATATTACTTCTGTTTTAATAGTGTGTGAAGAGTTCATTTTATAACATTCAAAGTTTTAAATCTGTGTAATAGAAACATTTTTGGATTTTAAAATTACATAAAAAAATTTAATACTACGTACCAGAATAAAATTCAGGAAATCAATATTTAAAATGCAATACTGAGGAAATATATATATATAAAACTATAAAAGGGGAAAACATTTTAATGCACGCATAAGATTTAGTTGCAATTAATTTCAAACGTTAATCAATCCTGTTGTTTTTGAGATTGATAAAATGAAAGCAACTGTAAATCGAAGATTTATCTCTAGGTAAGCGGGAAGGTGTACCTTTTGTAAAGTAGCAGAAGACTTCTATAGTAAGCGTAATTTCACTGCTAGAAATTCTTTGGTGCAAAGCAAATAATAGTTAATTAGGTCTTAAAGAATTAACTCTTTGAGCTTATATATAAATAAAAATGTTTAAAAAATCTGAAAGCTTACAGATTTTACATTTTGCCCAAAGGGACTTTTTTTAGACATTTTGTGTGTTACCTTTATTTATTAAATATCATGTTCTCCGCGCTTAAACGATAAAATTCAGTTCAACGACAATCGCTTTTGACCAGGCGCCTGTTTACAAGTGAACTGCCCCTAAGTCTTCAACTGTAATATTACAGAATATTTAAAAAGAGCATTTGTTAGAATTTCTGATACACAGTCTCGCGCGCTGGCGACAATAATGTCTTTTTTTCCGTACAATGTCGCCATTGCTCGCTTTGAAATCGTTGAGTTTGTTAATCTAAAATTCGCTAAACATTTATAAAATAGATAATAAAACAAATTCCAAATTTCAAATTGACTTCTAGATGCCCATATTGGAGTGGAGGACTACGCTATTCAAAATTTCTTGTCTCTAGATACCATTGTTTTTTTACAATGCGAGAAACATATATACATTCATGCAAATTCTTCATTGTTTAACTTCTTTAAATATAATGCTGGCTTCTAATATTTGGCGGCAACAATTTAAAAAGTGAAATACCGTTTTATAGCGGACGAATGGAATTAATAGCTCTTCTGGGCAGATAACCCTTTGGGTTAATATATAAAATTAATTTTAGAGAAGTCTAAGCAGCTGCAAGAAAAACACTCTGAGTTAATGACGTCATAACCTTGAAATTGAAGAACTCAATTTCAACTGAGAACTGCTTCCTGTTCTGCTTCTACTAAGCACACATTTTTTAAATGTGAAACTCAACAACTGTACAATAAACCACAACAGACTCCGCTCTTAATTAGATTTCAGTATTAAACATAAAATAAATTTATGTACAGATGCGACTGTGGCACTGTCAGGCCAAGCCTTCGAAATAAATTCTTTCATAAAAGTTCAACAAAATATACAGGAATAATAATAAGAAGAAGAAATATTTAAATAAATAAAGGAATATAAAATAAAGGAATAATTTAATAAACATAATTGATTTCATAAGAAGGACACCACCTAAATAAACATAGAAATCTAATAAACATAATAACATTAATAACCCAATAAAGGAATAATTTAATAAATAGAAGCCAAAACTTAAAATCGCATTGGATTAAAACTCATGCTGGTGTTATGGCAGAAGGAGAGCTGATGTATTAGCTAAGATGGATAGACTTGGGAAATAGATTTTAATTAAATATTTTCCAGGTTCAAAAAGAAAATATTTACTATAAATACAGAAAGAAGTTATTTAAGAATAGATTCACTGTTGACGGCCACCCATGAGAAGAAGAGATAATTAAAAACTCATATTAATTGTTAAAATTATTTGCTCAAAAGGCATTTTGCTTTGAATCACTATAAACACATATCACATTTAAAATTGTTGCCACCAAATATTATCACCTTGCATTATATTTAAAGAAATTAAATAACAAAGAATCAGCATGAACGCACGTATGTTTCTCGCATTGTGAAAACACCACGGTACCTAGAGCCATCAAATTTTGAATAACGTAGTCCTCCACCCGAACATGGACATCTAAAAGCCCGAAATTGGAATTTGTTTAATTATCCATTTCATATTTTATAAAACGAAATTTTTATAATTAAACGATTTCAAAGCGAACAGTGGCAACTCTGTACGAAATAAAACATTTTTATCTTCAGCGCGCGGGACTGTCTATAGGAAATTATAAAGATCTGCTGTTTATAAAGATTTTTTTATTTTGTTGTTTAATCAAATTCTATGTGGCGTACGCGGCAAGAACGTGATATTTAATAAATAAAGTACACACACCAAATGTTAATAATAAAAAGACAAAAAAAAAAAAAATGTTTTGTACAGCCATCTTAGTAAGAAACCTCTACATTGGTATGTTGAACTGAGAAAAAAACTGAAGAAAACAGAAAAATGTGTGCCAAAACGTTGCGTTGGGAATTCTAACCGTATGCCGCTATGCTACTTTTAAATTTTCTTGTAATTTTGCTGTTGAATTGTATGTGGCGTAAGAACGAAGAAATTGAGGCTTAATAATAAAGCTAAAAAGACAAAAAAAAGGCTTAGCATATGTGAGTGTAATAGCAGATTGGTAGATTGCGAGCTCAGCGAGGACGTAACAAACCTTAACACACCCTTTCCGGTGAATGTTAAAACCTGAAACTTTTCAGATGTTTTTTTAAATATATAATGATATAGATTCAAACTAAATTACTACTGTTGTGTCGTTCAAATGTAAAATAATAGAAATATGGACCACACAAGACCTTCAATGAAACTGCACAAATTTTCTTTATATTATAACTACTTATAACAAAATCTCTAGAAGAAAAAGGCGATTTATGATACAGTTGCGTTATAGGCATGCATTGTTGCAAAACCAGGACTATTTCAACTAATATTTCAGAAATAGCAAGATACTGAATCAGTTATAAACCTTCTTTATATATAATTGTAATAATCTGTAAGATTACTCATAAGGGAACTTTTTTCTTGTTATTATGTTACTTTCAGTCCAGTTTTTCTCACTTATAATTTTAATACAGAATAATATCAATCAAGACTATGTTGAATGATCATTAAATAATATAAAAATAAAACAAAAGATATTTAATGCATGCCAACAAAATATTATTTAAAAACATTATACCTACAATCTTGAATAAATTTGTTTTATTATCGATTTCATATTTTGCAAAACTTTAACGAATTTTTGAGTAATAAACTCAAATATTTCAAAGCGAGCATTGGCAACGTTGTACAGGTAAAACATTTTTATCCTCCAGTGCTCGAGTTTCTGTATCAGATATACTCAATCCCTGGGTGGTGAATTTCGATACAGCGAGTTTCTGTATCGGAATTCATCAACCAGGGGCCCCAATAATACTAGATAAGCTTCTTCGTAATCCAGAATCGTCTCTTAGATTCTTCATATCAACTGAGTTTTTTCCTTCTAGCAAATCGCTTGAAAGCCTACTATATTCTCTTCTTTCTGATTTCGAATCATTTGCATTCATAAAATGGCTCAGAGAGGCACTTTAGTACCAACTGGAACAACTTTGAAGTGCACAAATTTCTGTTAGTTGCTTACGAAATGTATGATGTTTCGATAATTTGTATGCCTTTGCCTTTACAAGTTACCACCAGAATTTATTTCACAAATCAGAAATCTCCGATAAGGTAGTTCCAAGGGTACCCTGGCGCTGAGCTATTCTATTGGAATGGGAATTTCTTGAAATGTTTGTTTCGTAAACAGCAGGTCATGTCGCAAGAACATAACTCGAAATGCTATCAATAGTCCAAAGCGGCTTTGTCTCTGAAGGGCTATTGTTTTCGCTTTGCGATTTTGCGTTGGCTCACTATAAATGTCCGTTTAACTTTTGAAACTGTTGCCACCCAATGTTAGAGTCCTGCATTATAGTTGAAGAAATTAAATAATGAAAATTCTGCATAAATTTATGTATATGACATTGTGATAAAACAACGGTACATCGAGCCATTGAATTTTAAATGACGTAATCCTCCTACGAATATGGGCATCTGGAAGACCAAATTTAAAATTTGGAATTTGTTTTATTACCTATTTCATATTTTGTAAAACTTTAACGAATTTTTTTATTAACAAACTCAAGGATTTCAAAGCGAGCAATGGCAACGTTGTTCAGGAGAAACATTTTTATCTCCAGCGCGCAACTTTCTGTATCGGAAATTCTAAAGATATGCTCAATTAAAAACTATTTTGCAATATTGCTGTTGAACTGAATTTTATGGTTTAAGTGCGAAGAACGTGATATTTAATAAATAAATGTAACACCCAAAATGTTAAAAAACGTCCCTTTGGACGTAATTTAAAATCTGAAACCTTTTGAAAAAAAAATTTTTTTTTTTTAGTGTTTATTTGTTGTTGTCAACATGTATGTCACATTTTTAAAATTCTTTAGTTTAAAAGCGTATAATGTCACGAAAACTTAAATCGATATACCATTTTTATTTTTCGTTTAAAGTATTAATTCTGAGCAGTCAGCGTAATTTAACGTTTTATAAATTACATACATTGAGACTGAAGTATAACTACTTTTCTACACTGGCGATTCATGGGTTATTCGAATGCTTTTTATGTAAAAGGTTCTAATTCATGCAAAAATTGTATCATTATTATTGGACAGAGCATGCACTTTTATTTAATTGTCCTTTACCCAGAATGCAAGATATTTTTGTCATGATTTTAACGAGAATAGTCTCAAACAGTTTTACAGAAAAGCTGTTAATTTATTATGAGATACAATGATAATTTTTAATAATAGTAAAGATACAGTATCAGCACAATTAAAGTGTAAGTGAAAGATTTTACCTAATTTATTAAGACTGGTATGTTTTGCAATCATTTAGTAGTGAACAAAATATTGGTAGATGTTAGGCAAACTATTGCTATATTTAAAATAGCAACTGAAACTTGAGAAGGGTATGAAAGACCCTTCATTTAAAACCAAATAAGAGCAGAAGGCAAACCTGGTGCTTACAAATCAGCCAACCACTTAGGGCGACGCATCTTACAGTAACAGTCAGCCAAATAAAATTTTAATTAAATGAGCTAGTAACGAAAAGTTACATAAATTAGTTAACGCGAAGTTGGTTCAAAAATCTAACCAACGTGAAATTTTCTATCGGAAATTATAATGCAAGGCAGAAGACAAAATCTCTTATCTAAAATGGCCTAGTTATGTAGCATAGAGAAGCAGAATACACTCTATCTTACAATTTAAAAACCTCGTTTTAAATACACGCGAACTAATTTGAATTCTGGCAGAAAACATGTTGCAGTAAAGATCTAGAAAATAACTGGTTGATTATCTTTCTGGTCGGTGGGTAACTTTATTGATTGCTTACTTACAAGTATTCTCTTAGTTTATTTATTACTCCTACCTCGTGGCCTGTCTCCCCAGAGCTTTCAAATTATTAAATTCATTAAATATAGGATATTTGATGCCCCTTGAAAATTTCTGCGATAGATAGTTAGAAATGGTCGACTCTTTGTTTCTTTTATTTGTTATTGCACGAATTAGTCACAGCGTGGCATTATAGCCAAACAGGATGGAGGTTAGAATAGATGGCGGAAGTATGAGTCACAAAACTGAAGCCAAGGAAATGTTAGCAACGTGACGTCAGTCTTATCATGTTATGGGCGCCATACAGCGCATGCGTAAGACTACGAAACATATTGCTAAATAAAGTTACACTGAAGTTGAAAGCAAATATCAATGCCGCGGGCTCAGAAAGGTGTTTCTAGGCATAATTTGCATAAAATATCGTTGAAACTTCCAGTGGTCTTCCAGGTTTTACCATGTATACATTTGCGTTAGTTACCATTTACACGTTTTCATGTGTGTAATTTTTTAATAAATTTCAAAAAGTTATTTGCAATCCTTGTGATGTTTCTAAATACTAAATCTTTTATATTATATTAAAATTAGAAGGGTAGACTTAGAAATTTTCAATATTGAACAGCTAACATGCAAACAACACAGATTAGAATTTAAAAAAAGTCCGCTTGTGGCAGCGGTCATTATAACCGTAACGTTGCATAGCTTCATTTTCTTTGCACGGAGCATACGAAGAAGGTTTACTCCATCTATTCTAACCTTCATGCTAAATATTGACTTTGTGGAGTTTTACTGGTGTTTCGCATTTAATCGGATCAAGCCGTTTCTACCGGTAGAATTACTATAGAATGCATTTGAATTGATTTCACCGCCATGCATGAGAGAATCGCACAGGGCACGTTATCTACTGTTTTCAACACAAGATAGATTGTGAGTTTGTAAAAAAGTGCTGGAAAGCAAAATATAACCTGCAGCTGATGTTTGCAATTAGCTGCATGTTCAAGTTCGTCCTATTTTGTAAAGATTACATTAGATTCGAAACTCGCTTGCTAAAATACGAATTGTCGATTACCTCATGGTTTCTATGCAATGTTACTATAGTTGAATGCTGCCAATAGTTACATTTCGGAATTAGTTAATTTTATTTCAGAAATTATTGCTAGTGACAAAACGTACATGCAATTAACTGAATGTATATTTTTCCCAAATAAGTCATTATTATTTATAAGATAAATATATTCGCATCTCGAATAATTACTTTTATATCTAGATCTCAAGTAATTACTTTTATGTCTTATTTTTATGTCTTTAAGTTTACCACATAAACTAATTAGTTTCAGGTTTAGAATAAATAGTTTCAAGTGCCAAATATATAGTTCTACGTACTTGAGTTTTTATTTTCGAGGGTCGCTAGGCACAGGAACTTCATGAGAAGCTCAACGTTTATTAAACCGTACATTTCGGACCTATTCCTTGAAATTCCTTTTTCTTATAAAGATCTCTTTCTTAATATAAGTTGCTGAATTTATAATGTATTGCTTCAAACATATAGAGAGACTTTGTCACTTTAGGAATGGAGCTGATTTTTCCCGTGGGAGCGATCCACGAGAATTGAAACAGGAACGAAAATGGTACTAAGTTAAAGGCCTGATTTTATACTGTTCGAGATCGTATACTACACGTGTCATCGTCATTTATCGTATCTCATATGTCAAATCACTGAGTGCTTTGTATCAAACCAAACAATGATGTTATTTCCTAACCAGAAGCGTGGTTGACGGAACACATGTGGAGAAAGCTAAACAATGTCCAGCTGAAAATTAGTGTCACATTAATATTCAATAGGCATGTGTCAATGTGCTGAAAAGTGAAATCTATAACATCCTAGTATAAAATTATTAATGTAGTATATATGTATTGTTCAATCATCGGAGAACAGACTTTGATTGGCATATCTTCAATTTCCAGAAATATCTGTAACAGGAAATACATATGGGAAATGTTGAACAATGAATAATTCACTGCATTCGTCTTTTCATGCCAGATGTTATAGAAAAGAATAGAATTCCGTTATAGAAACAAATCAAATAAAAAATTTGTATTTTTTCCACGTTCCAGATATTTTCCCTGTGCAACGTTCGTTAAGAAAGCCAAGCCTATTGACCCTTTAGCCATTTCATCATCCAGAACGTTGCCACAGAGGACGAATGATTTTACACAATCGTAAGAAGAAAAGCTGTATTCTACGTTTGGTAGAAATCAGCCTGCGGATTGACCTGGAGGTTTTTCAACTCCCTTTCCATACCTCTACATTACACTACAATATCTACATCAGAAACACACAGCATTGAATTTAAAGTTCTTTAGTATTCGAAAATGTTTTTATGTTACAAGTTTGGCATGCATGTTAACTTTTATTGAAAAGAGGAATTAAGTGTTTTTGTTAGACATCTCCATCTGCGACTTAGAAAGCAGGAAATCCTAGAATTTAAAATTTTATTATATGGGAAATTGATATGTGCTTAGAAAACCGTAAATGTCTTTTTAAAGGCTGTGTTAAATACTTTTGTAGAACAGCAGTGTCTGGATGTAAGATTTCTCGTAAACTAGATATTAGAAACGTCTTTAAAGAAGGTATTTTGAAAGGTTTAAACCGTTGGTTGAAAATAAAGAACGATATGACGCGCATTTAATATCCAAAGAACTACATAAATGGTGCATTATGGAAGCTTAAAATCTTAATTTTTTTCTTCCCTGCTTTTAAAATAGATATTTTTTAGCGTGCTGATCATGAAAATATTTAATTTTGTTCTTAAATATAGAGAATTATACATAATTTATAATTGAAAAATATCTGAATTAAACTGACAAATATGTGAATGAAACACGTTAGGCTACACCAGCTTAAAAATGTGACTCACTTTATTACCACCAGCTGAGTTGTTGTACCCCCTGTTACAGGGCTATCAGCATTTGTACTCAATTGGTGGAACATTCTATTGTCGCTAGACCCAGCCAAAAATTTCTATGCAGTATTGAAATTTGTAGCGGAATTTATAAAGTTACTTAGGAAGATGGGTATTTGTGACCAGTGGTTATTAAAGAGACTGTCAAGACTTTGACTGTGCTGAATTAGGATTTTAGCAACGTCTTATGCATTGTAATTCTGTGTTTACAGAGAATGTTTACTGTAGAAGTCAGAGGTAACTTGGATATAAAGAGTTATTCAGATGCATTACACTGAACAATATCAGTTGGGTATATTAATGTACATCGTATGTGCTGTTCACACATTTACAGAGTTCCATCCACAGTTTTCCGAAAATAAGACTATGATGTAGCTTTCTTTCTTTCTACCGACGGCGATCAACTGGGGCAATTAGCATATAGGCCACGATGATGGAATTTGTTACTAAAGTTCCTGAATTGCAGGCTCTCCAGTCTTATACTTGGCGGAGGGGCAAGTAAAGTGTTCTTATGAAAAGTCCACGAAACACAGTATGTTTTGTGCACAGAGCTTAAATTGCCCTGGAATCCACCGCAGCCCGGCTCCAGCACTTCAGGATTTTTGAAATAAATCGTAATTCTAGCCGGAGCGCTCCAGAGTCTTAAATAAGAGGGCTGTGGCCCTTCTTTTCTGTAACTGAAACACACTTTTACATGGAAATTTTATTTGATAAATAAAATGAAAATAAAAATTGAATTTAACTTCTGAATGGATGCCTTGTTTCCATTGGAAACAAACCCTTGTAAGTTGAGATTTTTAAGATAAGTCCCCACCCAAAGTCAATGGCTTATTTCTCAATGAATTTATGACAGGGGATAAATTTTTCGTTCCGATGCCAGTGTTTTCTCACAGAAAAGAGCATCTACAGACTTTTAGAACGGCGCAACCGAATACGGAGGGTTGAAAATATTCACTTTGTTCTCAGTTGTCCCTCCGGATTCGGAGAAATTTTTTCTCCCTCTAACATTCTGTTTGTCAGCTTGAATTGTATTGGCAGGGAATCGTAGTCAGAAAGTTTTGGACTCTTCTTTTTTGTTTTCATATTTACACATCTCCTTTAAAATTTCCTAAATAATTTACAAACAACCTTCAAAACTTTAAAGAACTTAAATAAAAAAAATTTTTGTGCAAATAAACGCACCAATAAAATAACCGAGTTTATCGGTGTACGCAGATGTCAAGTCTGTCAGGATTTCTCTCATAAGACAAACCAACCAAAATGCTCATTCTGCGGCGGAAAATATCATGTTTCTTGCTGTTATTCCCAAACTCCGTACTGCATAAACTGTTGGATTAACAATGAAAAGTATGAAACAAAATTTGACTGTAAACATCCAGCTTTAGCTATTTCCTGGTCCACATATCAAACAGAAGTTAGACGAGTAAAATCCAATACATATTATCAACAATAATGCAAGATCCTGCAGACTATCTATAGACCCTTTCCATCAATAAAAAGAATAACAATGGCATCCGCTTTCTCAAAATAAATCTTCAAAGAGCAAAGACCGCCACCGACCAACTATGTCAGTATCAAGTAGATTATCTGGCAGATTTTATTATAAACAAGAACATTATTGCATCACTGGCAAATTAGGAAGAAGTCCAAATAACTGGGCAATTATTCAACGTCATGCTTCAACGGTGTTTTATCTCCTCGTACAGCCATATATTCATTCCAAACAATAAATGGAATTCTACAATAATTATTAATACTCGAGATATAATCACAATTTCAATCAATACTAATGCATCTCAGCTTCTTATTACTAGTACTAGTATCTATATATCTCCGTCAAAAATCCAAATCAAACCTTATCCATACTAAATGAAATCTTACAACAATAATAATAGTCCGCATGTTATTAGTGGAGACTTTAACTCGCCATAGTACTTAATGGGGATACTTACAAACCGATCACAGAGGAAAATACTTGAAGAATTTTTAAATGCAAACAATCTCATTCTACATAATCATTTTACTGACCGACCTACCTTTGATAATACCTACAATAAAGATTGGACTGATCTTCTTATTTCTACAACACATCTTGATAATAAAATTAACAACAGATCAATACTAGATGAACATACCGAATCTGATAACAAATATATCTCTTTTGATATAACTGAATATACGTCCTTTACTGCACTTACCAGATTTAAAATCAATAATAACAAAAAAAAAAGAAATTTCAACAAAAGTTCAATCCAATTTCAAATGACTTTCTAAATGCTATTATTCTGTGTACAACCAAAACAGAACTTAATAATATTACCAAGGAACTTATCAGAAAGTTTCAAGATACCTACGAACGTACCTTCTTCAAAAGATCATCAATACCCATTATAAAAATCAACTGGTGACGAAAGACGAAAGAACTCCGCAAAGTCAAACACAAAACACGAGCATTACGAAGAAAACTCAAATCATCGCAAACTAATGATGAAGAACGACTCAACCTACTTCAAAAATACAAAAAACGAAAAGCCTCATATAAAAAGCAAATAATGTCTGCAAAACTTTAAGCATGGTGCAACTATTGTTCAAACAACCAGGTATACGTATGGCTCATTGTACAAAATTGAAACCAACAAAATCTTCCACCCAACGCAACTTACAGTCACTAATACGGGAAATAATGATAAAAATGTTACGAAGATCACTTTAGAAAACATTCCTAGATGTTATTCTACCAAAAAAAACATATATGATGATTTAACTGAACAAAGATTAATTCGTTGTAATCTACTTCCAAGAAAATGATAATCCCATTTACATCCATGGAACTCAATCTATTTATTAAAAAACTCAATAACAAAAATGCTCCTGGACCAGATAGAATCTGCTATCAAATTATACATAAAAGTAATCCTAAGCTAATTCTAATCTGCAATAAATGTCTTCAACTTGGTATTTTTCAAGACTGCTATAAAACAAGACAAATCATACTCTTCCTCAAAAAGAACAAAGCTCATTTTCCATTAGCGCCCCTGGAAAATCCAGTGAGACATGATACCTTGGCATTTATTCTAATCAATGAACGAAAAAATCTCTGAAACGCAGGCCATATCATTTTCATCAAAGGAACTTAATAAACATGCGGCTAGAAAGGAGACAGTGATCACTATCTTTTCTCATATCCTCTCACGAAAAAGTTTCATATTCGTACACCCAGAAATAGTGATATATCCTTCAAAAAAATTATCATCAAACTTCAACATCTTCATTCTGATATAAACAAATTCACCAAAAACTTAACACAATTTGATTAAATCTATGCAGAGTAACCCCATCTACAACAGACGAAATATAACAAAATATTTAATTTTCAGCCTTGTAGAATTTTAAAGATCAATTATCGATCTTTGTTACAAATACTTACTTGTACTGATCGTAACAACAAAAGTCTTATAAAATCCATAACAAACAAAATTAAATTTAAAAACTGATCGTGACATTAAACTAGAACTGAAAAGGTGAGTCATGATATTGATTTGCTGTGTCATGACAAAAATGAGCTATGAATATTGTATGAGTCATGTAAAATATATGAAATTAAAATATGAACTTTTTATGAA